TTTAATTTTTGGAATGAATCTATCAAAAGGCCAACAAATTATTAAGTATACCACTTAGTAATTTTGTTGATGATCAAAAAGAAATTCAATGGTGATTCATTATAAAAAAAAATTCTTGTTTGTAAACACTTTACCCAATTGTTTGATTAACCTTGTTTGAAGAGCATTTTCTTGTCTAAAAAAAAGAAGAGGAAAGAAAAGTTGGGAAGGATGTTTAAAAGAAAAAAAGAATTGGTGGCACAATATATCCTTTGAAAAAATTCAAAAAGAAAGAAAAAGAAAAGAAATTGAAAATAAAAAAGAATGTATAGAATCTTGGATAAAAAGGAAAGGAGCACTACAAGAAATTTGTCATTTAGCAACGGAAAAAAATTGTTGGTAAAGGTCTAAAAACCGTTGATAAAGGTTAAAAACCTATACCAACAACGTTCGGTTCCGTATAATTACTTATACCAGCAATAAATTTCCGTCTCAATATCTTATACCAACACAAGTTTTCAGGCGTTGGAAAAATCTCAGGACTATAGCAACGGTTAATTACACTATTCAATAACTTTACCCATCACGAATTTTCGTTGGTATAGGACGAATTTATCCGTTGGTATATATCTCTTTTTTTATAAATATTTCTTTCTTATAATAAATAAATATTTTTAATAATTAAATTTTTTGACAATACTTTCTTTATGCACCACCGAAAATTTAAAGCAACATCAAAGAAAATTTTAATTATATGTCAAAATAACAAGTCTTACAAACATATCAAAACAACAAAGTATCGTCAATTATATAATAGCAATCACTAAAATAGACGCTACAACAATAAAAAACACCAACATATCTAACATAAAAACAGTTTTTGATCTTCCTCTCTTCCATCTTCATTAGTACTTGGACTTCGAAAATCTGTTCAATTTAGTGCACTAGAAGAATTTGTAACCTATTGAAAATAAAATCAAATAAGTTACAAGCTCAACTTAATAAATGTTTTCATAATATTTTGAAATATGAGAAATTAATTACACTACTTAATAACTCTACTCTTAGTATATACATGGAAATAGAGAGTTCTTCAACGAAAAATCTTCAAGAAGTTCATGAAATTGGTAGGAAAAAGGTGAGCATAACCTACTTAACATATATTGTCAATAGCTTCAGAACATAAGATGGAGGAATAGGCTTTTTTTTAGAAATGAACATAATTAATTATATAGAACAACATAATCATATTCATATAGAACAACAAAACAATATAATTGCAGATACAAATTATTTACAAAATAACTTTAAAATAGTGAAATCTACTTACTTCAAGAATGGAAGAATCCACTCACTTTTAAACTCAGTTGATTAAAGGTTTGAACCTTAATTCTTGCTGACTTTGCTAGACCATGCTTAGCCAATGCAACAAGTAGTGATAAGGAAGGGATATAAACAAAATTAAAATTCACATTTGCATTAAAAGCATTAGAACAAACTATATTATCAATTATATTACTTTAGAATTAGTACACTCCTCCAAATTTCTCATGTTACATTAACTTAAGTATTCTTGTTCTTCAAACATCACAAAATGTAAACCAAAATGGAAAGGATAAAAAAAGACACACTCACATTATATGACCCTGTCACCGGTCATCATTAATCTCTCAAAATAAAGTAGTTACAAAATGTCTTGTTGTTTTAGATTTTCTACATGAAAAAGAGGATTTTTAATATGTAGCTCACGTAACAGTAGTCAATAATGATTAATTGAAACGCTCTTCGTTATTTTTACCCATTTTGCTTCAATACATATGTTATCATTTGTTTTTAACCCAAGCCAAGTTACAACCAATAAAAGTCTTTTTGTGATCTATGTTTCATTGATCTTCTTTTTAACTTTTGAGATGAATGCATGAATTATTCTGGATGTTAACACAATTATTAATGAGAGTGTTGTGTCCCTTGTCATAGTGTACATAGTTCACATTTTGTTGATTGATAGTAGGTGATTTAAATATGAACATGTTGTTACTAATATATGCACTACTTGATGTTTATGTTTAGAACTTATTTCATTATCATATGTTTTGATTCTGGAAGCAATTGATGTGTATTTATGAGGGCATCTGTTGAGTTTGAACCATCCAAATTTATCTAGGTTGATTTTGTTCTTGTGAGCTTTATCTTGTCCTTGGATTTTACCTTTGATTTGGGGACAAACAAAGATTTTAGTTGGGGAGAGTTGTTAAGTGTCAACTTTTGGGTATTTTCCATATCATTTATTGACACTTTTAAGTTTTTTTATATGTTTTTAATTAGATAATCACTTATTTTAAGTCATTTTGCTTAAATGTGAATAATCTTGGTAGATTTAATGTGTTTGTTAGTTATTCAATATTTTATGTTTAGATGATGCGGCTTGAAGCCGACTCAGAGTTGAAGAAACAGAAGTTCAGTGTCAGCTTTAGGAAGCGTCGTCCGGCGATTTAGGGAGGCGGAGAAGAGCTGCGTTCCCCAGCGACGTAGGAGCGATGGCCTGGCGAGAAGGGATGATTTTGGTTTTGGGTATCTAATGCGTCGCTGCTTGGATCGCCCGACAGACTAGAAGCGAAGAAGGCGTCGCCCGACGATGAATCCTTGTCCCTGGGCGATGGAAGATATTTCTGCTAGTTTCGTGCGTTGCGTGCAGTCACGTGGGCATTTTTAAATGTGTCGCCCGACGACGCTTGTTGAACGCTCGACGACGGTGTGCGGACATGCCGTGCTTATAAGCTACTTTTTAGATATTTTAGGAGAGGAACTTGCATAACTTTCATTCTTGTAACCTAGAAACTTGGTGTGTGAGGGGAAAAAAGTCATTTTCTCCATTTTTACTCAAAATCAAAGCTTTACAACATCAATCTTTGAGACTTAAAGTTTGATATTTATAAAGCTTTGTTGTTTACTTGTTGATCAAGCTACTATTACAATGGGTAGCTAATCCCTCTTTTCTGTCATAGTTAGTGGTGGATAATCTCATCTTTGTATGTATTTAGCTTGATATTTTGCATGTGAACAACTTGATGATAAATATGTGATGAAATACACTTGTTTTAAGGTTTATATTTGAGTTGATCATTATTGAGAAATATTTTCATCTCTTGATATAGGTTTTCAGTTATCAATAAACAATTTCTAAACATGATTTTGTGAGTTATATTCACTAATGTTGAGCTTTTAAAGTTATCAAATTGATAGTTAGGTAGAGAGATCATCTAAGGATCAATTTGATAAAACTCATAATTTGTTTTAGAGACGATACATCTTGAGAGGATATGTGATTATATTTATTATTGATGAGTTCACATACTTTATTGAGAAAATACGCCCGAAAGAGATTATCGAACCCTAATCTTGACACGCTTTTACCAAATGTTTAAAACCAAAACTCTATTTCAATGATACTTGATACTTTGCATGAAATCAAAACTTTTCGTTACTAAAACCAAAACCAAACCCTTTTATAAAACTTAAGCTTAAAATAATTATAACTGTAGAACAACGACGATATCATACCAATCTCTGTGGAAAACGATAATTTAAATACTTGCCCTGTAAAGTATTTTCAACACCAAGTGATGGGAGGGTGTCGTCTGGCGAAGGAAGGCATAAATGATTGGCCGTTTTGGATTTTCTTGAAAGAGTCATAACTTGAGTTTTATAACTCAGATTGAGGTGTCGTTCAAAGCGTTGGATAGCTAACACAATGAACTTTAATTATGTGGAGAAAAATGAGACTTAAGGAGTATATCTCTGAGACCTAAGTTAGAATATAATTAGGTTCCCCGTCTTGAATTACAATGACGTTATCAACCAAAGCACCCTTATCGGTTATTTCTAATGCACCCTTATCATCACCCAAACCACTCATCTCAAATGAGTGGTCCTTGTAATAGGCTGCCTCAAAATCCATATAACTTATCTCCTTTAGTATACCTACCAACTTAAAATAACTCCATTTATCAACATCTATTTTTAAATCATCAATTTTCCCTCCTTCATACACACCAAGTTCACCATCAATGAATTCACCACTATGATGAATTCTTAGTTTTAGATACTCGTCTATTTCACCTACTCAGATCAAATGTCAAATTAAATTGTACCCTAATACACTTACAAAACAAACTGACAAAGCCTTAAAATAGAATAAATATGCATAACAAAATCATGAAAATCCTAAATTTCTACCACTCTAAGAACCAAAACATGAAAAGTTGCACATTTCTTCCACCCTCAGAACAAATACAAAAGAAACCATAATTTTCTATCACTATCAGAATGATTAAATGCAAAAATATCTAACCTATACTCAACGATGCTTTAAATCCTTCTCCATACCTTTAATTTCACCTTCCAACACGCATGCAATCTACCAAAATAATGAAGTTTCCTTCGACACCACCAACGGACTATTAAACTTCTAAGGTTCACGTTTTCACTTTCTAAAACTACCTTTTCATTTTTGGAAATTATATCCAAATTATATCCACATCAGCATTCATCTAAGCCATGTGAATTTCTTTTTCTGATCCTCACTGACAGAAATAAACAGAAGGACAAAAATGCCATCAATTTTATAATTAAGAAAATAATTTAATCATTTTAAAATTTAAAGAATCAAAATGGATCCCAAACTAAAGTTAATGAAAAAAAAAGAAGATAATTTACCTTTAATTTATTATTATATTTTGATAAATTGTACAACCCGAAAATCTAAGGAAAAAAAAAAAAATGGAGATTCATTAATGCAATGTTATTATTCAACTAAACTTTAAATTCGGGCTTAATGATAATCGTCCACAAGTAGCGATCGCGCGCAACATGTGTTTCCCGCTCATGCGTAGAGAAATAGCCGTTTCGTTTCGCAAAACCCGGTGCGAATTCGAACTCGAGTTTGAACAAGTAAATGCAGATCCAAAAAACTTCGATTTTACGTATATTCGAATTTGCGCATTGCAAAACTGAATCAAGTGATGGAGGAAACCACATCGATATTGTCACCTTCTCAAAGACACGCAGCGGCTGCTTTGTTTGCTCTCGCATTGAATCAGTCGCAGATTCATCAAGGTCGATCTCCGGCTACTCCTCGCGGCGGCGGCGATGATGCTTCTCCGACCACCGCTCAAACCTCTCCTAGAATTAACGATAATTCCGGTTTGCTTTTCCCTATTTTTAGGTATTCAATTCAACGAAACTAACCTAATGTTGCACGAGGCTTGATTCGTGATCTGATATTTTTTTTATCTTTTCTTTTTTGCGTTTTGTTTTTATAAGATGAAATTTATTTATAGGCTTAATATCCTTTTTGTTAACCTTGGAAACGAACATCGAAAATGGGACCCTGACACGTTGGCACCGAAATGCAATAGCGATACTTCAACATCGGTAATAATTTGAAAAAAAAAACTAAACTTAATCACAAGTGCGGTGTCAGTTTCGGACATCGATACTGATAAAGACACACGATATTGACACGTCGACATCGGTAATAATTTGAAAAAAACATAAACTAAATGTAATCGCAAGTGCCGATGTCGGTTTCGGACACCAATACCGATAAAGGCACACTTTTTTCACAGGTGTCATGCTAATGAGGTTCAATCCATTTGCGTTCAGACATATTTCGATTTGGAAGGAGGAACATAACCTACCTTGTGTGCTCAATAGGATCTACGATGAGGATTAGTCATTGCGAAACGGTGTACCTATATATGGCAACAAAAAAAGAATACTAGAATTGAAATCGATCTGAATACTTCATTTGGTTGGTTTATAGACTAGATACATTGATAATTCAATTAACATAAAAATTGCATTGTCTCTTATAAAAAGGAACGAGATAGTATTAGTTGGCAGGTAATCAATCTATTTTAATTTTTTTAAACTATTAAAGAATATCAGATTGCGAGAACTTGTATAAAAGTTGTGGGAAATTACAAGATTTTATGGAATAATTTGACATCCTCCATCACTGATAAGAATCCATGGTAACAATAACAGGTTCCTTGGAGTGGATGAACAAGCCTGGCGTGACCTAAAGGAAACTACTGGTTCTTCTTCCCAATTCAAGCATAATTTGAAAGATGTATGTTGTTTATTCTCTTCCTTTTTTGTTTCCGGACTAAAGCTGATTACCGGCATTACAAATTCATTCTCTCATGCCCTTCAACAAAAAAAAATCCATTCTCTCATATTGGAAAAGGAAAACACTTAATGGATAATTATGTTATTCCAGTTCTTTAAATTACTGTCTGAGGAAGGTGATGCATCTTCTAAAGGAAGATTAGAGAAAGAAGCTGAATTGACCAATGCCGTTGATTCAACAGAGGCGGGCATGAAAAGTACTGCTGATTCGTTGTCCGGATACCATGAGCAGAAAACTAGAAGCCCAAAGAATTCACCTGATGCCGAGTTAAAACTATTCGCTGTAGGTTCTGAGCCTCATGGTGAAACTAAGGAGATCTCAACTTTGTTTCCTATAGAGACACAATCTTCCACTGCACTTGAAAATGGAAAACCTTTGGAGGAGGCATCCATCATCAGTTACCAGAGAAAAGTATCAGTTCTTTACACTCTTCTCTCTGCTTGTGTAGCAGATACTGCTGAGGTCGACAAAAAGCACTTCAAGTCAAAGCAGGGCTATGATGCTCGCCACCGAGTCTCTTTGCGGCTGCTTGCTGTATGGCTTGATGTGGAATGGAATGAAATGGTTTGTGTGCTTGGAACATGTGCTTTGTATTTTAAATATCATATGGTATTATTATGATGTGTGAATCTTCATAGGAAAAAAGTTTCTCGTTATTGATGGGGCATAATATCAGTATGTCTATGGCTTGGTGCATATAAGAAAGCGGGTCTTGGGAAGCACTGCTTTACTAGAATTTACCCTCAACATAATATTTTGCAGGAAGTAATGGAGTCTATGGTTGCTTTTTCGTTAATGGAGGCTGTGAGTAAAGCAGGGGAGAAAGATCAAGAATCTGTAGTTTCAGAAACAAGTTGGGATAAATGGAAGCGTGGAGGTATTGTAGGAGCAGCTGCTGTGACTGGAGGAACCATAATGGCAATTACCGGGGGTATATATTTTTATATCTAACACATATCTTTATCCAACCCAGGTTTGATACAGTATCAGTATCTTAGTTATTTGAATGCTATGGCAGGCTTGGCTGCCCCAGCAATTGCCCATGGATTAGGTGCTTTAGCCCCTACGCTGGGTGGTATTATTCCTGCTGTTGGAGGAGGATTTGCTGCAGCAGCAACTGTTACAGGATCTGCTGCTGGATCTGTAGCCGTTGCTGCATCATTTGGAGGTATGGAGGATCAGATTTTAATCTACATATGTCGTGATAGCACTTGCCATCAATATATTTTTTTTCAGATAAAAAAAGTGATGTGTCCAGTATCTACAAATCAATGCCTGCTTATAGGCTGTCTTTTATAAATCAAATATTCTTTTGACATGATTATATAATATATAAAGTATTCTGAAATATATCAACTCTTTACTGACATAATTATAGAATCTTTCAACCATTGGTAAGTAACTCTATCACTAAAGTCACTTCTCTCTCTGTGTGTTTGTGTGTCCGCCTCTCCCTTCCTCCTTCTCTACCTGTGTCAAGAGGGACTTTGACATTTTTTCATTGTACGGATAAATCCTGTGACTCGTTCCTTTTGTGCCACAGCTGCTGGAGCTGGCCTTACTGGTAGTAAGATGGCTACAAGAATTGGAAGTCTTGAGGAATTTGAATTAATAGAAGTTGGAGGCACTCAGCAAGGTGTAAGTTCCAAATGTCAATACATTATATGAACTTCTGTGGACATGTAGAAAGTTTGGGGAATGGCGGATGTTTTGTTTGGTAGGTTCACTGGGCACTTTGTGCAAAGACTTGATGGTGAACCTAGCAGTATCTTAAATCTTAGTTGTGATGTACACAAATATGATTGTTGAAACTTGAAGCAAAACCTGTTTTTTCAATTTTCAGCATCTAGCAGTTAGGATCTCTATTTCTGGGCTTGCATTCGAAGAGAACGATTTTATAAAACCTTGGGAAAGTTACAACGATAACATGGAGAGGTATATAAAAATGATTTCTTTCCAAACTAGAAAGTCTTACTGTGTGATAAAAATGTGTTCTTGCTTTGGTCATAATGCAGTTTATCCTTGAATTTCTCTCTGTAGCATTGGTTTTCATGCAGATCTGAAATTATTCTACAATTTCTTACCTTCCACTTGACAAGTTAATCAACTTTGTTTTTATTAACTTCTATTTTTATTAGAAATTTTATTCCTCATCTTTAATTTCTTATTTTCAAAAACCAGTATATGCTTAAATGGAAGGTTGTGTCAACGGTCACAAATCTTAAAGCAGATGATTTCCTTCTATAACCAATAGCTTTCCTTTAATTAATCATTAATTTTACTAATGTCATATCTGACTGAGGATTCAAATTTCAAACCCAGTCTGCTTTCTATCAAAAGTCGCATTCTCAATATTTCTATTACTTTATTTATACTAACTACCTGTATGTTTAGGTATGTGCTCAAATACGAATCTAAAAATTTGATTGCTCTAAGCACTGCCATCCAGGACTGGCTTACTTCAAGTAGTTTCATTGAACCCTATGTATGTTTGAGTAATGATCAAATAGATTTTACATATTCAAACTGAAAGTATTTGATGGTCAATATTATAGAAATTATGAGCGAGTTGATGAGAGGAGGTGCCATGCTGACAGTATTAAGCACACTCGTAGCAGCGTTAGCATGGCCAGCAACATTAGTCACTGCATTTGATCTTATAGACAGCAAATGGGCAATTGCAGTGGACAGGTACTTGCTTTCCTTGGTTGTAGTACGGCTATCATATCCTGTAAAATGATGGATGTTTAAAGTATTAAATGTGGTGGTCTAAATTTATCCCAAGTAAGACGACACATTGCTCTAAGTTGTCAGTTCTCAGCTTTTAACGTTACTCACGATATCAAGAATTTAATATTTTAGACTTATTTGAGTCTGTATCCACTACTCTACTCTGATCCATTTCATCTCCTTTGATTTATCTGACTTGAATCTATTGTCTCAAAATAGATAAATATAATACTACCAAAAATTATGTTCCACACATTACTGCAAAATCAAGTGGAATCAACATTTAGTAATTCTTATGTTTGATAATTTATTTGCGTGGTCATAGAGAATATAAACAAATTTAACTTGTGGCTTTTGTTGAATCTATTTCATATGGCAGCAACTGCAATGTTTTGAGACATCTATCGTTACCATTTTTTAATTTTAATATTATATTTAGCCTGCCTTTCCTCTTTTTTGGATCAGATCAGAAAAAGCTGGTAGGGTACTTTCTGAAGTGTTGCTGAAAGGCTTGCAAGGGAACAGGTGACACCATCTAATGTTATTGCAAAAGGTTGATTATAATGTTTCCTAACCTCATTGTATAATTCGTTATATTCATGGTTTTTTGTTTATGATCCAGGCCTGTGACACTAATAGGTTTTTCATTGGGAGCAATTGTCATTTTCAAGTGTCTTCAATTTTTGGCCGAATCCAAAGAAGACAATGGTAATATTTTCCGTATGGTTTTCAATTATATTGGAAATTTATATTGGTTGGATTATAAAATCTACATGACATGCTTAATTCTACAGCTGGACTAGTGGAAAGGGTTGTTCTCCTTGGAGCACCCATCTCAATTGAAGATGAAAAATGGGAGGTAGCTAGAAAGGTACCTGGAACTTGTCTACACTTTATAAAAAAACACCAATCAATACATTAACTTTTGAGATTTTCTAGCTACATTTCTTATTTCTCCCTCCTTACTAAATTAAGTGTCATACTTGACACTTTCACACAAATTAAAAAAATGTGATAAATTAAATAGAGAATAATAATTTTACCAAATTATTCTTATAAACTATTGGTGTATTCTAATTATCATTTAAGGTGAGAGAATAATAATAAATTTGAAGTGTTAATTAGAGGGTACACTTGAAAGAAAAATTAAAATTGTATTTTGTGACTATTTTTTTTTCCAAACATGACATTTATTATGAGATGGAGGAAGAGGAAGTATTATCTTTCCAACACTGCTATTGCTTATCACTCTCTTTCCAACACTTTGTCAGAGAGTGAAATTAACATAAGCTCATACTTCTTTGGGAATAGGTACAATTAAATACAAAATGTGACTCACGTTTTATAGTGGGAGTCACCCGAATTTGACCCAAGAATAGTGTTGAAAACAGGGCATTAGGGCGTGCGTTGCTAGAGCTTTTTCTTCACTTTTACCTATGTTTTACTGATCCTGCCACTATGCAGATGGTGGCTGGAAGGTTTGTAAATGCATACTCTACAAATGACTGGACACTTGGTTTAGCTTTTCGTGCCAGGTATGGGTTATCTATATGATATATGTCAGCTAGGTAAATGTTCATATTTAGCTAGTTTTTGTTATATCTGAAATTAGAACAAGGGGATAGCTATATTTATCATAATGATAGCAATAGATTCTTATAATGTGACACCACTAATGAAAAAAAACACTTCCTTGAGGCGGCAATTTAACAAAAGGAACTCCTTTGTTTCTTTAAGGAAGCACCATTTCAGAGGCCTTGCAATCTTAAAGCAAACATAATTTTGGTCATTGATAGAAAAGCATAATACAGTTAGGGAATTCTATTAGGAAACTCTTATTGTATTTCATGATAGAAAGAGATACAAGGAAATCTCATTATATAGAAAGAGAGTGCGCTGTAACTGAATGCTGTAACTAACTGTTACAGCTCAGCACTAACAATCCAGCTCAGCATATGTTATGAAGAAAGTGAGGCCCGTTAGAGAAAGAAAAAGATCAATCCTTTTAAAAGATTTCATTTAAATTATTAGGTGTATGCAGTAATGTTTTATTTGTTGTCTTGGACTTTTGTATTATTGGTTAGCTGGCCCATAACCATTTAGGTGTATAAACCTATCTATTTAAGTGTATGCTGGCTACTGTTTTGATAAGAAGAAAAGTTGTTTTATTTTATTGTCCCCTTATGCAATTTTATATCTTAGGTTAAATTAGCATAGTCTATCATTGGTGCTTTTATTCTCTTGCACTCATGGCTCCTCCAAAACCTACAAATCCTTCTTCCAAAGACATCGTGGAAGAGGCTGTGCAGATTTCCCAGCTCAATTTGAGCAATGCGATGCAGGAACAACAACAACAATTGGATGAAAGATTCAACTTGGCTGCTTCGGATCTCACACATCAAGTTGGAGAACTTCATGCGCGTTTTGACAAAGAGAAGCTGATTGCAGCTTCTCGCCATGAATCAGTCATGACGATTCTACACCAACTCGCGCTACATCGTGAACCCCAGCAGGCAGCGTCAAGCATGACCGCTGAACACTCTTCGGGTATTACTCGCACACTCTCGTCTTCGCCTTGGGTTAACCCACCAACCACTTTTGTCACAACACCTATTGACACTCCTATACGTCACACCACTGTTACCAGCCCTCCACTTATCACCGCTGTCCCTCTACCACCACCTTTTCCACCTTATATGAACAACCATATCAATCCTTTGTTCCTGCACCAGCAGATACCATACCAAAACCTCAACCATATATCTCCATTACCACCTTTTCGGACCTCAAAGCTAGAACTGGCACTTTTTGATGGTAGAAACCCTTTAGAATGGCTTTTTCAGGCTGAACAGTTCTTTGGTTTTTATAACCTACCATCATAAAATCGTTTATCGCTGATTTCCTTTTATATGAAGGGGGACGCGTTATGCTGGTTTAAATGGATGTAACAAAACCAGTTTTTGACAGATTGGTCTGCGTTCACAAAGGCCCTGGAACTACGTTTTGGACCCTCTACTTTTGAAAACCACCAAGCTGAACTTTTTAAGCTTAAACAAACCGGATCCGTGGTAGATTACCAAACTAGATTTGAACAGTTAGGAAACATGGTTATTGGACTACCATAAGAGGCAATTTTAAACTGTTTTATTTCTGGCCTCTAATCCAAAATTCAAAATGAAATTTCTATCCACCGCCCCACCTCTATTTCCCAGGCTTTAGGCCTTGCCAAATTGATCGAGTCTAAGATTAAGGATTCAAAGTCTAAATCGTTCAAGAGTTTTCCCTCACTTTCCCATAGGCCCTCTAACTCACTTTCCCTTTCCAATATATCCAAAACCAACCCTCCATTTTCCCAACCATCTATCCCACAAAATACGTCCCTCACGGCCTCTAAACTTCCCGTTCGCCGTCTCACACAATCACAATTGCAAGAAAGAAGAGCTCAAGGTTTATGTTTTAATTGTGACGAGAAGTTCGTCATTGGTCACAAATGCACTTCTAGCAAGTTTCTCATTTTATTGGTGGAGGATAATTTCGTAGATGATCCGCTCGATACTCCAAGTGCTATTGATCCACCTAATGATCCAGCCATTGCTGATACATATTTTCAACTCTCCCCTCAAGCCTTAACAGGTCAATTTTCACCTCAAACCCTAAAATTTAAAGGGTCCATTGAGGGTCTAACTGTTATGGTTCTAGTAGACACGGGTAACACTCACAATATCATGCAGCCGCGAATTGCTCAGCATCTACATCTTGCAACTACCCCAATCAGTCAATTCTCCGTAATGGTTGGAAATGGTTCTCATTTACATTGCGAAGGAGTTTGTAATAATGTTCAAATACTACTGCAGAATAAGCCGTTTACCCTACTGTTCTACTTACTCCCAATTGAAGGCGCGAATGTTGTTCTAGGTATGGCTTGGTTAAGAACTTTAGGCCCCGTTCAGGCTGATTTTACCATCCCTTCCCTTACTTTCCAACACCAAAACACACCAATAACTTTGAAAGGTGACCCTAAATCGCAGCCTGTTCACTCCACTTTTCATCAAGTGCGACACCTTATTCATACGGAAGTTGTGGCTTCTTTCCATCTTCTAATCATGGAACCTTTACATATTTCTACCCCAACCCCTAACTTACCAACAACCCCCAGAAAAACCCCCCTTCCACCCCCAACTCTCTCATCTATTAACACAGTACCAATCCATATTTCAAACCTCCCATGGCCTCCCCCCTCCTAGAATTCATGATCATCACATTCCACTTTTACCTAACACACCACCCATCAATGTCAAACCCTACAGATACCCCCATTCAAAAAAAGAAGTGATGACAACACTAATCCAAGAGATGCTGAAGGAGGGCACTATTAACCCCAGTCATAGCCCATTTTCTTCTCCCGTGTTACTTGTAAAAAAAAAGGATGGAACATGGAGGTTTTGCGTGGATTACAGGGCGCTTAATGCAATCACTATTAAAGACAGGTTCCCTATCCCAACTATCGATGAGTTGCTAGACGAATTGAGTTCAGCCACTATTTTTACCAAGTTAGACTTATGCTCTGGATACCATCAGATTAGAGTTGCATCGGAGGACACATATAAAACAGATTTTCAAACTTTTGACGGACACTACGAATTCCTAGTTATGCCTTTTGGGTTAACAAATGAACCGTCCACTTTTAAGTCTGCGATGAATGACTTGTTAAGGCCTTACTTAAGAAGTTTTGTGATGGTTTTCTTTGACGACATTTTAATTTATAGTTCTTCTTTTAGCGATCATCTAACCCATTTACAAGTTGCTTTTGATTTATTAAAGACTCATAATTTCTTTGTGAAGCTGTCCAAGTGTGTTTTTGCAGCATCTCAGATTGATTATTTGGGGCATGTTATCTCAACGGAGGGGGTTGCCCCAGATTCAGAAAAAATCAAAGCCATTGTGGATTGGCCCCCTCCCAGATCTCTCACGACACTCCGCGGATTCTTAGGCCTTACTGGATTTTACCGTCGTTTTGTGAAAGATTACGCCACTCTCACCGCTCCCCTCACAGATTTGTTACGTTCCACTAGTTTTACATGGAATACACAGGCTGCTATAGTCTTTACAGAACTGAAACACAAAATGACCAGTGTACCGGTCCTAACCCTCCCCAAGTTTACAAAACCCTTCATTATCGAAACAGATGCTTCTAGCGTTGCCATAGGTGCTGTTCTGTCACAGGAAGGTCATCCTATTGCCTTCTTCAGCAAGAAGATGTGCCCCAGAATGCAGGTGTCATTTGTCTATGTCCGCGAAATGTTCGCCATCACCGAGTCTGTAAAAAAATGGCGTCAGTACCTTATTGGTCAAAAGTTCTACATTTACACAGATCAGAAGAGCTTAAGAAACTTGATGTTGCAAAGGATTCAAACTCCAGAACAACAACGATGGACAGCTAAATTACAAGGCTTTAATTTTGAAATCTTTTACAAACTTGGGAAATCCAACCTTGCAGTTGATGCTTTGAGCCGTAAATTCACCATTGAGTCTTCCTTATTAATGTCATTATCCTCTCCCAACCCACACCTCTTCAACACTTTGCGCGCATTTTACCTCACAGACATTGCAGAACAGAATTTAGTCAAAATAGTAACAAAGTCTAACACCAACAGAGACTACAGATATACAAATGGTATCTTGTATTACAAAGAACGGATTTTCTTTCCGGACATCCATCACATGCGCCAAACTATTCTTCACGAACATCATCACACACCAACTGTTGGGCATTCGGGTGTCCAAGCTACCCTTGCACAACTGAGAGCATCCTTTTGTTGGCCTGGCATTTACCTAGAGGTTAGACAGATGGTTAGAAATTGCATCACTTGTCAACACCACAAATATGACACAGAAAAAGAAAGGCTTGTTACAACCTTTACCTGTTCCAAACAGAGTCTGGGAAGATATTACCATGGACTTTGTTACACATTTGCCAAATTCTTTTGGCCACATTGTCATCTGGGTACTGTGTGATCGCCTGACCGAATTTGTTCATTTCATTCCCTTGCCCACAACATTCACTGCTAAGGATCTAGCTGCTCGCTTCACGGTGGAGATTTTCCGTCTCCATGGCACTCCGAAATCCATTATCTCGGACCGGGACCCTTTATTTCTTAGCAAATTTTGGAAACAGTTCTTCAAGCTCCATGGCACGACACTTAAGTACAGTACTGCCTATCACCCAGAGACGGACGGCCAAACTGAGGCCGTGAATCGTTCGTTGGAAACATACCTCCGTTGTTTTGTTGGAGACCACCCTCGTTAATGGCACAAATTTTTGCACCTAGCAGAGTATTGGTACAATACGTCTTTCCACTCCGCCATCCAAATGACCCCTTTTAGAGCTCTCTACGGACGTGACCCACCGGCGTTACACCATTACTTGGAAGGCACCGCTACAGAGCAATCATTAGACCTGACTTTGTCAACTCAACAACAAATAATCACGGAGTTAAAATCCCACCGCAGGAAAAGTAGGATAACAATGGAAAAG